CCCCAAAACCCCAAAACCCCAGGTTATCATAAAAACTGAATTAAGCTCAAATTAGCTATAATAATTTAAAGTTAATCAAATTACAATAATTGCAGAAAATGAGATTGGGAAAAGTAGACTGGGTTAATCACTCAAAAATGCCGATTCTTAGTGTTGACGTCCAACCTAACGGCTTCAGATATGTCACTGGAGGAACAGATCATAAGGTTTGTATTTGGAATCTGCTACCTGTGATTTCTGAAAAGTATGAGAAAATAGGACAAAAGAATAAAAATGCGCAAGAGGAAGGCAAAGCTGCTCATTCAGGAGATGTTGAAATGAGAAGTAATGAGGAAGTCTCTCATGAGAAAGGAACGAATGATCCAATTGAAGATTCTGTAAGTATAGTGTGGATTGATAATATTGTTAGTATGACTACGATGGACAGGATGGTTATAAAGATGATATTAGGATAATGGAGTCACTTTTCGAGTCTGAAAAGAAGCGCTCATAGAGATTACTAGCAATCCTGGATGCTCATGCTAATCCTGTCAATTGTGTTAGATGGAATAGCATTGGTACACTTTTTGCAAGTGCATCAGATGATGGCAGTGTACTGCTTTGGGAATACGTAGGGGAACAATTAGCAAATGTCTTTCAAAAAATGAGCATGCAAAACATGGCATCCACTGGCCATCAGAAAAGACAGTTCTTTGAGGAGTCAAAAGGCGGTAATCAATAATAATTAGGTGATGAGGAGCCTGACCAGGAATAATACCTTGAAGAGTGGAGAAATAAAAGATCTTGGAGGTCTCATAAAGGAGGTATTTATCATTAAATTGCGCAATTAATCTGAACTTGATTGTAGGTGTGATCGATGTTGCCTGGTGTCCTGACAACATTCACTTTGCCTCCTGCGGTACTGACTCCTAAATCATTATTCAAAGCATCAATGAGCCATCTGCTATCAAATTTATCGACTAAAAAGCAAACGGACTCTGCTTTGATCCTTTCGGAAAGTTCATGGCTTCTTAGTCATCAGAGGACAGATCACTGATAATATGGAGAATTCAAGATTTCAAAAATCTGAGTAAAGAATGCGAGCACAGCAGCTATTACAAGCAGGCAATGTCTCAATCTCTATTCAGAAGACTGTCTTGGTCTGCTGATGGGTAATTTATTTCAACTACGGCAGGTAAAGTAGGAAGTCATCATATTGCGCCATTGATAGAGAGATCATCTTGGAAGTAAATGGCTTCACTCAGTGGGCACAATAAGACTATATGCACTTCTAGAATAAACCCTAGGCTGTTTAAGAATCCTAATACAAGCAAAGAATTAAATATGGATACAGGAGAGTATCAAGAAGTGCTCTCATGTTATAGTGTGGTTGCACTAGCCTCTATAGACTCAACTTTATCCATTTGGAAACCATATATGGATAAGCCTTTTGCAGTAGTCTTAGATATCTTTAAAATGGGAGTAACAGATTTGAGTTGGGGATTTAATGGAAATATACTCTTAGCAAGTTCAAATGATGGCCATGTCTTTAGTGTTCATTTTAAACCGGGTGTATTAGGACATCCAATCACTGAAATGGAAAAATAAATTATCATTGAAAAAAAGTATGGCTCTACTATTCTCAATGACTACAAAAAGCATACTAAGCTGGTATGCTAATCTTTAGGATCGTTAAATACGGCAACGAATATGCCCCTCTCTTAATCTGGAAAAGTCTCGGCAAATCTTACTGGGAATTTATTAAAATAATCTTAACAAGAGACTATCAATAAAAATGGAAAGAAAAAGATAGTTCCAGTCATGATCAAACAGTATAATGAGTCAGCGAATATTAATCCATTCTTGAATCCATTCTAAAATCAGATGATTATTGATCAAAGTGCTGCTAATCTTAAAACTGCATAAAATCAAAAGATTGAAGCAAGCCAAAACTTAGCCAATAGCAAGCCTTAATAAGATATAATATAGCCATAAGTCATTAAATAAGCACACAATGAAGAATTAAAGCAGGATTCATTATTATCTAATGAAAATTAAGCACCAAAATTGCCCCCATTCAGTAAAACATTTGGGTAAACTTCATGTGACTAAATAACCACAACTGCTAAGAGTTAAATAGTCTCTTCTAATTAATAGTCAATGATTTAACAGTAGTAATAGCCTATACCTAACTAGAAGACTACTGCTCCAACCGTCATGATTTAGCCTCAAGTTTAGTAAATTCAGTAGACAACTTAGATAGTCTAGTAAAGCAATAATCTACAAAAACTGTAATTGGAGGAGGAGAAGGAGAGTTTGATTGAGCAGAGTGCCAGAAAAGGTAAAAAGTCTAAGAAGAGGAAGCCTGACAATCAATAAGAAGCTATCTCTTAGTAGTAAGTAGTTGGAGGAACATAATTTGGGCAGAATTTCGCATAGATTAGTCGTCAACTTCAATTTACTGGATCTAATCAGCAAAATATCTAATTTGTTGCATCGAAAGAGAACCTTAATCAACTAGAGAGAATATTTGAGCTTACTAAGGATATCATAACTGCTATCCCGATTGAAGAACATCAATTGCTCAATAGCATAAAGCATAAGGAGTAGATGTAGTTTAGTTTGCCAGCTCAGGACTCTTTCTCGGAGGAACTTAAAGTCATAATATCTAATGGTAAATAAATTACCAATAACTTAAATGCATATATATAGTTGATTTGAATGCTTTCAATCGAAGAGCTGAGGTAAAAATTCTTAACTAGGACAATGTATATATTTCTCAAACAGCCATAGAAAGGGAGTTTGTGGTCTTGACTTGCGTTTGCCACTCGTTCTTTATTCTTTACACTAACCTAGGGCAACTTTAAATTTTCAGCACAAGAACGACACAATTGGTATTAATCTATTTGCGTTTATGATTGTCTTTAGATTAGAGGTGGCTTAATTCAAGAAGGCATATGCTTCCTTGAATGCTCTGAAGAGTCAATGTCCTTTACTACTCTGAATCTGAAAGGATAACTCAACATATATAAGATGAAGAACGTTGATTACCCCTCAGTAGATACATGCATGCTACTATGGTCAGCTTCAGTAATAGAGATACTCAGAATTTAGAGTCAGCTTGCCTAATAATTAGACCCTAATGCTAAGGTGTTTGTTAGTAAGATACCAGCAATGTTTATTCAAATTAGGAAAATTGAAATTAGTGAGAGATGGCGGTGTAATGGTATTTTTAACTGATAATACCTCTTTTGAATATGACATTAACACTAAAATGTGGAGATAGCTTTCAAATACCAATGAGCTAGCAAATTCTTTGAAACAGGCCGATGATTAGAAGTTTGGAAATAATTAGAATATTTAAAGGGATCAATAGATTCACTCATAAAATGATGGCAAAATATCTTCAATTATCAAGCAACTTGAACACTAAAACCTAGAGGATCAGCTCTAAGTATTAGAATAGGATGCTAATATGATCAACTAAGAGGAAGAGTAGAGATTTTTACAAAATCATTAGAATCCTTATTAACTTGAAACCATGCTTAGAAAGATAAACGGTTTGCAAGAGTCGATGCAAATCTACGAAAGATTGCACATGAAAGGTGAGTTATTATATGCTCTTAGAATGTATACTACAATGATCATTGCTGTTGGCGACTTTGTGAAACTCAAAGACTTGGTCTTAGACTATCGTCTTCTAACCACAGCAGAAGAGGAGTAATCTCTAGCTTCTAATTCTGATCAGTAAAAGTAGTATACTCTTCATGGGCTCATTATCAACCAAGACACTGCTCTACACAACTTGCTAAGCCTTATGTCAGATGAGTAGAATGAAGACTCCAGGGATCATCAAAACCCAGCAAACATCATAAACTCTATCAACGATAAGAGTAGAGTTATAAATCTCGATGAAAAGAGGTATTTCTAGGTATGTGGCATGGACAAAAGAGAGATATTCTAAAAGTCTATAATGCCTGTTTTGCAGACCTAGGCAACAAGTGATAGTTTATTAAAGTAATATCTGTCGAAGGTTATTCAAAAGATCGCAGAACTTAATTCAAGTGGTTAACATCAATAAAGAAATTATCTAATGGGCGGTAATCAAGGCTAAAATAAGTAAAGAAGAGGGTCAAAGCATCATATTATTTAGAATACAAATTCTTCTAACTAGATGCTGCAAGATCAGGAAATGCTAATGGTCCAAGGACCCTAAGGTAGTAATGGCTAGCAAGTCACTTATCAAGTAATCTAGCCCTCTCAAATAGGTCTAATGCTCCCCTCAATCTCAAGCTGTCTGCCTTCTTATGTGGTTGATCATAAAAACCAAGATATGTCCTAGATTCATCAACAAATGATGCTTTAACTCAATTAACCAAGCTGGCCATATATGTAAATCTCAGGAGACTAAATAATGCAAACCCAAGTCATTACTCATCCTCAAACTCTAGTTCAAGCCTAGTAATTAAACTAACATATGTAGTAGAACCCTAAAGATCATTAGTGAGTTGATAAAGCAGTAATAAGCAATGATTGAAGGAGAGTAATATCATATAGATTGCAAATTGAATTAGTTTATCAATATATAAATGTTAGCTCATAAACTTCAATTTGACATAAGGGGTTTTGGGGTTTTGGGGTTTTGGGG